TAATTGTTTAATTAATATGATGCGCGCGTTAGCGTGTTTAGCCCAACTTGTACAAGAATGAGCCGGTGTTTCTGCTGTAGAGTACGAATGTTAACCGAGGTTTCAACTCTGACCAATTTTAGCCATTTCGACTCCTCATCCATCCATCCCAAATTCGAGAGCTATTTTTTTTTCGAAAATTCGAAGTTACGTGGTACACAGAGGCTAGGCAAAAAAGAGTGGTCGGCAAGTTCCTTTCATTTTGAAGTCTGCTCTGAAAATTTTAGAGACCTCCTGCTTCGTCCTCCATAAAAGTTAGTCGGTTTGAAGCAATCTCATCATTGAGATCACCTCTTCCCTTCGATTCGATTCATGTCGAAAAAGCTGTTCACAAATCAAGTCCTCGATAATAAGGAGTATGTGTAGGCTCAAGACGCATTATTCCTCAAGGGAGACGGAGCTTACGTGCGTCCGAGGATACGTGGCGATTTGAACGACCTTAGCGCCTATCATTGGGGCCCAAATTTGATATGGAATAGATTAATGGGATCGGCTAACTCCACTGAATTACTGTACTTCAAGTTTGTGCCCCGATAATAGGCGCCAGAGTAGTTTGAGTGGTTGCGCACTTCGCCGCGCAATTTGCCATGCGAATCCTCGGACGCACGTTATGTACCCATACCCATTCCCCAGCCAGATGCATTTTGAAAGGAATCAAAAAGCAGCTGCGCGTTGAATGGGAATAGATTAAAGATCTACCTAAAGATCGCTGAGCCATCCTGAGTGTTGTATAATGTTGAACTCTTGACCAGGTTGGTATACAAGCTTTATTGGTCCAACAGTCATGGTTAGCTACCTCCTTTAGAGTATGGGAGGATCAAAACGAAGTGAGCTGTGAACAAGCCTCCCGGTTCCATGCCGACATCGGCTAGCAGCCTCTTAACGTTAACGTGTGAGCATGGCCGAACAACATCAGGATAACGAGGGTCCCGATAGTGTAAGGCACAGACAGAGCGGTGTCCGAAAAGCACAAGCAGTTCCGTCTTAGGCATGAAGGAGGGACACGTACGCAGCCATTCGGAGTCCTCGAAACGACCCAGCAGTCCGTTATCAGTGCCCGTTCGAGTTGATCTTCACAGTAATGCTAACCGCTAAGAATTCCAACCAAATTTGTTCAGCTTTAAGCTATCCCGAGCTCAACCCATTGGAAATCCAGTTGCTCGCAAAAAAGGAAGCATCGAAAGTGATAGACTTGCCCGGTACTTTGCAGTGTTCATTCGGAAACTATGATGTTTGTGTGTGCCTGTGGATATCGAAGAGTTTGGTATGAAAAGCAGGCAATCGGTTTAAGTTGTCAATTCCGGAAATATTTTGGGGTGCCATTTCAAGGAAATGAAATTGAATGCATCTTTGAAAAAATCATTCTTAATTCACCTAAATCGAGGGGAGGAGCTCCGAAGTCTCTTGAACAAGGCCGGGAAAAGGAGAAGTCTGGCCTGCAGTCATTCCCATGCCCGTCGTAATTGATTAAAGTAGTGATCGGTTGCACCACGGTGATCATCGATATTTTGACAGGGTTCATTGAGTTGAATCCGAAGAATGTGGCAGAGCTTTAGAGCCAAGGGCCACTCTCTTATAGCCTGACGCCATTCGTTGAAGATCAACAGGAAGGCGAAAAAGCCGACAGCAGTTGAGCTGAAACAGTTCGAATGAAGGTTATAGCACAGTTTTCCTCAACAGTCAGCTTCCATCCTTTGATTTTGTGAAGAGTTTGGTCATAACTATTTTATCTGACTCACAGGGCTACCAGTAAATCCAAAAGCACCAAGCAAAGTTGACGTGCTTCGGGTTGATCATAGTATACGAGTAGAGCCAATGCAAATAGTCCTACACCAATAAATGTCAGTGTAGAGCCGACAGTAAACGCTATCATCGCAAGCTGTAAAAGGAGAGACTTCAGAGGTTTCGAGAAAACTCGGTGATTCAAATATAGTCACTTTCTGACGGAATCACCTAAATGCAAAAATATAGAAGATATAATGGTGGCCAGGCGGTAACAAAATGAAAGTGTTGTTGCTGCATAGTCCACAAGTGGGTAAGAAATAAAGAAAAAACACAGGGAACTCGAGAAAATTGGGAATCCCACGAGGAATTCATTCTGTACAAGTCCAGAATGGCAGTAAATACGGTATCCATACAAATACAGCGCAATTGAATGCATGGCAAAGCCTCCGAACTCGTCAATCAGTGGGCGTTCCTGACAGTAATGGGCGCCGAGGGTCGTTTTTGCTCATGACAATGCAACAGCTCACCTCCTATAATGCAGAATGCCTCAGTAAAACAAGGTCTCATGAGAATGGTTGCTCTGTGGCAGCGATGCAGTACGGCTAAAGAAATTTGGATTCTTATTGGGCATTCCTTGGGAATAGGGAAGGCGCAGCCTCGTTTCTTTCTTCTAGGACACTTACAATTAGCTGTATAATTCAACCTCCATCCCCTGTCCCTATATGGAATTTGTAGGAGAAAAAACAGTATTGTGGTGCTTCTGCGAACGTCTGAGGGTCTATCCGTTTTCCTTCTGTCCGCAAGTTGCCGCAATACTTACCCTCATCACTCGTACGTTCTCCAGAAGTTGGAATTTAATGCTCCGCAAGTTGCCGCAATACTTACCCTCATCACTCGTACGTTCTCCAGAAGTTGGAATTTTGTGCTGAGTGTGTTCTTCGTTTTGCAGTGAGCAATTCCAGCTCTCAATTCATGGAGACGTAAAACATTCAAACGATAGAGCACCACAAAAATAATAAGGAATAGCAGTGTCATTACACAATCCGCAATGATGATGATTTTTATTGGAATGATACCTGAAAAATACTGTAAATAAATTGTTCATATTGTTATCATAAAAAAAAATAAAAAGTAAGAAAAACCATAAATTATTTATATTGCTATGATAAAAATAAAATAAAAAGTAAGAAAAACCAAGGATATTCTTCGTAAAGAGTTCTTGTTTTTTAACAAGCTGGAGTCTATTCACTGAAATTTGATAAAGGTTTAGTTCACGATAACTCTGAAATACGTACTTTAAGTGAAATAGAAGGTCGCGGTGCAGAATAATGCAAAGCGGGCGAAGAAAGTGCGAAAATCGGCAGATTCTGAGAAATATAATGATTCTATAAAAGTAGGGAAAATAAGGGGTTGTGCGAGATGTGACGACGGAGGTAATAGGAGGGCTCTTGAAGCTTCATTCGCGTGCAAACGCACGAATCATCGGCTGCAGTAGACTGAGAATAGCGATAATTGTGTTTCACTGTTAACACCAATCACTTGTGGTTCGAATTTTCAACATGCGTGCTCCATTGTCGATGATGCAGCTCTAGAAGGCCGTTGGAACACGGCCACTTGTGGGTGTAGATGTC